GTCACCGTTTACGTGCCTGCTTCATAAAATCCAAACCGCGCGGAAATCCCTCACATCGACAACAACAACAATGGCCGATTGTATTGAAGCGCTGTTCGCTTTGGTTATCCTCTTACGAAACAAAATGGAAGGCCACTGCTGCTTATTCAGTTTGAGGTTTTCCAATCGTTGTGTACAAACTGGATAAAACGCAGGCATTTTGTTGTTGTTCAGGAGGTTGATCCCGCCCATGCCCCTGCCCCCGCCTCGACGTAAGAGAGACGTAAGCGACGCCGCCTTTTAGCTCCAAAGCTCTTGCCTCTAGACCGACAATTTTTTGGAGCTGGAAGTGAACCGGATTCCGGTGCTAAGAGGCGGCGCCTCTGCGGTGTGAACAGGAAAAAAACGGTACTTTTCAGGCTCCAGCTCCGAGCCGGAGCTGAAAACGCGTTGGTGTGAAAGGGGCATCAGACCCAATTCCAACTAAGCTGTTGAAGGAAGTTTTTCCATTAATTAGCACTTCTTTATTAAATATTATGAATATGTCTTTATTATCAGGCTATGTTCCACAATCATTCAAAGTAGCAGTGATAAAACCGCTTCTTAAAAAGCACAACCTCGATCCAGAGGTTTTAGCCAACTATAGACCTATTTCTAATCTTCCGTTCCTCTCAAAAATTCTTGAGAAAGCAGTCGCAAAACAGTTGTGTGATTACTTAAAAAACAATGATTTATTTGAAGATTTTCAGTCTGGCTTTAGAACACATCATAGCACAGAGACAGCGCTGGTTAAAGTCACAAATGACATTCTAATAGCCTCAGACAAAGGACTTGTCTCTATTCTTGTCTTGCTCGATCTCAGTGCTGCATTTGATACTATCGACCATGACATCTTATTGCAAAGAGCACTTAGTTGGCATACAGGGAACTGCTTTAGACTGGTTTAGGTCCTATCTATCTGAACGCTCTCAGTTTGTACGTGTCAATGATGAATCTTTCACGCAAACCAAAGTTAGCCATGGAGTGCCACAGGGCTCAGTGCTCGGACCTATTTTGTTCACATTATATATGCTTCCGTTAGGCAATATTATAAGGAATCATTCTGTACATTTTCATTGTTATGCGGATGATACTCAACTATATTTATCAATCAAGCCTGATGAAATTAATCATCTAAATAAAATTCAAGATTGCCTCAAGGACTTAAAAACGTGGATGACCTTAAACTTTTGATGTTAAACACGACCAAAACGTTATTATACTTGGCCCGAAGAATCTACGAAACAAATTATCTAAAGATATACTAACTATGGATGGCATTAATTTGGCCTCCAGTGAGACTGTAAGGAATCTTGGTGTTATATTTGATCAGGATTTATCCTTTAACGCCCACATAAAATCAATTTCAAAGACCGCCTACTTCCATCTACGTAACTTTGCAAAAATCAGGCATATCTTGCCTCAAAACGATGCAGAGAAACTAGTCCATGCATTTGTTACTTCAAGGCTGGATTATTGTAACTCCTTATTATCAGGGTGTACCAAGAAGTCAGTCAAGTCGCTTCAGCTGATTCAAAATGCTGCAGCTCGTGTACTAACCAGAGTTAGGAAAAGGGACCACATTACTCCTGTTCTGGCTGCCTTACACTGGCTCCTTATAGAACACAGGATAGAATTTAAAATTCTTCTTCTCGCCTACAAAGCCCTTTATGGGCAGGCGCCATCTTACCTTAAAGAACTCATTATACCCTACTGTCCTACTAGGGCATTGCGTTCCAAGAATGCAGGGTTGTTGGTTGTTCCTAGAGTCTCTAAAAGTACAATGGGAGCCAGAGCCTTTTCTTATCAATCTCCACATTTGTGGAATCAGCTTCCAGTTTGTGTTCGGGCGGCAGACACCCTATCCGTTTTTAAGAGTGCGCTTAAGACCTTCCTTTTTGATAAAGCTTATAGTTAGGGCTGATTAGATTCAGCCCCTAGTTTTGCTGATATAGGCTTAGTTTGTCGGGGGACATCTTACTTGTTCCTTCTCTCTGTCTATACCTGTGTACTCTCATATTCCGAATAACCCAGATTCCCCAAATGTCTTTCTTTTTGGTGTCTATATACGCCGGGATCCGGAGTCATGGATGATCCTGTTGCTGCGGTCCTGTGTCCTGGATCGCGAGCCCTGGATCTTGAATCGTGGCTGTGGTCCTGGATCATAAGTCCTGGATGGATATCCTCGTGGATTCATCTTCCTATTATACACACATGCATTTCCAAACATTTGGACTACCTATGTTGCAAATGTATTATTTTTTCAATTTACACACGACATCTATTGCACGTCTGTCCGTCCTGGGAGAGGGATCCCTCCTCTGTTGCTCTCCCTGAGGTTTCTCCCATTTTTCCCTTTAAACTGTGGGTTTTCCCCGGAAGTTTTTCCTTGTACGATGTGAGGGTCTAAGGACAGAGGGTGTCGTATTGTCATACTGATATTCTGTACAAATTGTGAAGTCCACTGAGACAAATGTAACATTTGTGATATTGGGCTATATAAATAAACATTGATTGATTGATTGAAATGTTTAGTCTTCTCAAGCACCAAATATCTCTCCTGATTGTTGGCACTTGACAATCACCTTCCCTGAATTTTACTCAGGTGTAACTAAAGTCTGATTTAAGGGTTGTTTATATTTCACATCATTAATCAGAATCTGCAAAGTAACTCAAATAAATGTAGTGGAGTAAAAATACCAGGTTAACCTCTGAATTGTAGTGGAGTAGAATTATAAAGTAACAATGAGCTGTCATGTGGGTATATATTAATGCTGCCCATTAAGGACACAAGCCATTTTCACCCATTTAGTAATTATATGTTTTAAATTTGATAACACCAATGTGTTTCTTATCCCCTAAACCTCCAGGGGTGTAAACAGTTTAATACTGGCAACTTCTAATTGTGGGAAAAACGAAAACATCTTTTAAAACTACAATTCCCCGTAGAGACGTGCCATAGAACATGTTGCGAAACACAATAGCCAGCATGTGTAGTTCTAGTTAATTTTATTGAATTTGTCAATGTCGGGGCTGGACCCGTTCGAGTCCAGTTTTGGATACTCTGCCGTGGTTTCATTCCATTTCCTAGAGCTGTTTGATGCTCGGCATAACCTTGGCACACTGCCACTCCAACATCCAATCACAGAGCTTGAAGATTAATCACAGGGTTTGTCAAGCAAAAGGGACTGTAGTCCCAAACGATAGCTGAGGATTATGGGTAGTGTAGTGTCTTCGGCCATAAACTCTGAAAAAATTTGTTTCTCTGAATCGAAGGGGGAAAACACAAAAGCATTGTACACAATTTAAACCAATCAATGTTGTGTAATTAACAAGGATAAACTGATGTTTTTAGTGGATGAATATTGCAGATTACTATGCAAACTTCGAGACCGGAAATACTGTTTTCACCCCAAGCTGTTGCCTGGCAACGCAATTCTGTTGACAGTTATTTCATATCGCATTAACACCATATCCCAACATGCATTGCGGCTAAAACATCCAATTACCGAGCTTCAACCATAGCTGAGGATCTTGGGTAATGAGTTCAGTGGGTGTGTATCGCCTACGTCTGTATCCGGTGACTTTATTTTGAAATTCAGTTCCTGACGGACGGCAAAAAAGCCAGATATTATAGAAAATAAATAAAAAAATAAGTAAAAACAAGGATAATTGTGTGTTATTGTTGAGTAAATAACAGTGTGTTATTTAGAAAAGAATAACAAATTAGAAGGAAAAATACTGATTTCACTATTCTGAGGCTCTGAGCCCCATTTATTTTCCTCACGAACGGCAAGAAAAGTCAGACATTATACGATTTAAAATAAAAACAATAATCGATATTGGCTTGATATTGAGTAAGAAAATGTTTTTATGAACCACACAGCTTCCGGTCTTAAAAGACCCGACCGGACAAAAAGACGTGGTGCAGGCACGAAACTTACTACCAATAGAAATACATTGCATTTAAAATCGTTCTATGTGACGAAAGAAAGGGGAAAATCGTGTTGGTGAACACGAATCAATAGATTAAATAATCAACCCAGTCTCACGGCATTTCGTGTTATAGTCACGACATTTAATCTATTGATTCGTGTTCAATTTAAAATCTACTCTAAATAATCAACCCAGTCTCACGGCATTTCGTGTTATAGTCACGACATTTAGAGTAGATTTTAGTAGTATCAGGGTAAACTAACTTTCTTGCAAGCAGTGTAAGACATACTAATGAGAGTAATTACAGAATTGAAATATATTCTTAATATCTTGCTAAAATACAGCTGTCCTAATCATTTTGATTTCAATAAACTGAGATATATCCAGGACAGAATTAGTAAAAAGAATACTAGTTTGAGTTATGCGGGACACACACACATTTCCCATGCATTTCACACAGACAGCTGCACGGCTGGCTTCACAGCATGTTGATTACACAACAATACACTATTTTTTTATAGCATTTCCAGGAAAGGTTTGGCCTTTGATTTCATAATGAAAACACTATAATTATAACTCATCAGTTACTATTTAAAGTAGCAAGAATGGTTGTATGTCTTCTTGCTCTGACAGTCACTGTTTTTCTGATTGCTGAGCTCCTGAAAACACTTGAGATGGAAAGAGTTGTTTGTTATAATGACAACCAGCAACCGTGAGTTGTTTGTGTGTTGTCATTAGCTGCAGCATACTGCATATCAAACTGAGTTTAAAATATGTTTATTGCTCTTTTCTTTTGATATGTTTGAAACAACACAATATTAAACAATCATGTTAAATATTGGTTTAGTGGATTGCGTCATGGAAACTATCCACGACTGGTGCTTCATACAGGTGAGTAGAAGAACCCCCGTCTTCTACTCACCTGCGTTTGTGAGATTGAATCGTACTTTCAGGCAATCATTGCCTTCAGTTAAAAACAAAATGTTACTTTGGTTACAATAGGTAGATATTAAAGATTTCCTTCAGTGTGTGTATGTCCAACTCACAGTGCATAGTCAGGGATGATTTTCTTGGTGAAGAACTCCTCTACTCCTTCATCCACTCGGCCCATCCCCTCAGTGGCCTCATTCTCCGGCTCTACCTTTAAAACAGGCTCCTGAAACAAAGAACACAACAGAAAAATGTATACATCAGAATGTACATCTTGGATTGGGTTCTCAGAATTCATTTACAAGGTTTTTCTTAAAGGTCCCCTATTATACTGTTTTTCATCAATATATTATAGGTCTCAGATAGATATATACAAAACATGTCTCTGAAGTGTTTGGCTCGAAATACCAAGCAGATCATGGCAGCATCCCATAATCCCCTCTGTTTCAGCCTTGTTTCAAAAGTGCTGATTCTCTGTCTGTTACTTTAGATGTAAATAAGGAGCCTCTCCCCACGTCCCTCTGAGAGACATTTGGTTAAGAATAACACAATGGTGCTCTAGGAGGAGATTCAGGTGATAAGGTGGGGGGGGGGGTTACCTTGGTAGGTTATTGGCTAATGGTTACACAAGACAATACATCGTTATGACATCATAAAGTGGCCAAAATCTGATCAGCTCATTTTCAGACAGGTTTTTATAGAAATGGATCAGGACAAAAAGTGAGTGAATCTTTGTTCCTGAAACTTTCAGAATCTCTTTACACAGAGGGGACATATGTTGATGTAGAAGAGACATGAAGAAGTGGATTTTGCACAATAGGTAATCTTTAAGTTGTATCAACTATTAGACAATATGTAGTCAAATCAGAGCGAAACGAAATGTTTGTAGTTTAGATTATACTTGTTAGGAACCATGTCCAAAACCTTCTCACACCTAGAGAAGAGATGTCCAGTGCATTCCCTGGGCAGGTAGACACAAATACTGTTAGCATGAATAAATACTAAAAACAACCACAGATCCAAGTCATTACACCTAACACTAACTATTCCCATTCAAAGTATCCTCTGGATAGAGGGTTACGGTTAGCGAGGGGGGGATAGCTAGATACTGTCACGATCTGTCTTTATGGTGTTTTGTCTCGTCTTGTTTCATGTTTTATGTTGAAAGGTCTTCACTTCCTGTCTTGCCTGTTTCTGTCTGCGTTGTGTCTTGTTTAAATCTGTCTGTGGTTCCCGGTCGTTAGTTTCCCTGGTGTGTCTAATTTACCCGATTGTGTTCACCTGGTGCCCCTGTGTTTTCTCCTCCCTCCTCACCTGTTTCTTGTTTCTGTGATTAGTCTTGTGTGTATTTAAGTTCTGGTTTTTCTGTCTGTCTTTGTCGGTTCGTCTTTTGTCATGACTAGTTCGTCGGTGAGTGTTCTGTTTTGTCGTTGTTATCACCTAGCCTTGAAATAAAGGAATTGTCACTAGTGATGGTGAGATGAAGCCTTATGAAGCTTTGAAGCTTTCCAGCCAATTGGTTCGCAAAAGGGTTCATCTCATGAGGCTTCATCATGGGCTTCATTTGAACACAAACCCCCCTGTTGGTCAAAGTGTGTAAAACAGGCAGATTGGACATCTCAACAGTGTGCTCTATCTCATACCGAGTTCCCAATGAGTAAAGCCTTAGAATAACTCTAAACAACCAACATTAAATCATATGTTCATGTTAACAATATTGTATTTATTCCAGTTGAATGATTGTGATTGAAAAGCCTAAGGAGGCTGGTACACATTGCAAAGAGGGATTTGTATTCCTTCATAATATTCGTAAACTTAACCATGTTGTAGCCTGAGAAAGGCTAAACCATATCAAAGAATACATTTATTAACTACATTATGTCATTTAGCTGTAGCTTTTATAAACAACAAAAAATACGTATTGTTCAGTCGTTGAACCGGGGACCCTGCGGTCATGAGTCAACTGCTTTCCAGCTGAGCCACAGCACACACGCTGAGTCTCCCTGAAAACACTGCAAGATATGTATTCCTGTATTTATTTATTCATGTTTTTATTCCTACATTTATTTATGCTTGTATCTATTTATACTTATGACATGTTCCGACCTCTATAAGTGAGGGTCTGAGCTCTCTTGATTCCATCGTGTCACCAGGCCCGGGTACAGGAGGGGTAATATGGTTCTTATTATACATCCATGGGTAATATGAGCGTTGTGGTTCAACGGTTCAACCGATCTGAATCGCTTCCTGAAGCAGTCACGTGGTATCGACAGGCAGCGAGGCTTCGTTTGTCATCGATGACGTCACTGGCCCAAAACGATACAAGCCTCGATACATGCTTCACAAAAAGCTTCGGGATTACTCGACACATGCTCCGAAGCCTCGGTGCAATACGTAACATCACTAATTGTCACTTTATTCTGCATTTGGGTCCTACCTGCTTCACACACCGTCACAGATACTATCCAGCTAGCCCCCCTCTCTTTTTTCCCAACTAGCACCTACTTTATGTAAAGATTTAGGAATCAGATCTTTATTAAAGGTGCAGCCAGACTTCTAAATACTATGTCCCATGTGATTCGGCTCATCATGTTTCAAAAAATGTCCTGCTTTTCCAGCCTTGTATCATTTATGTATCCATCCACCTTGATGTTCACCTGGTTGTTTTAAACATCAGCAAACTGGGTTGCTTCTATAAAGTTAAAGAGGTGCAAACCTGATATCTCACCTAATATGAGCCTAAAGTAGAGAGATAAGTGCAGCTTAACATTTTACAAAATGTATATTGTGACACTTTTATCCAAATTGACTTACTACTGTATAAGTGCAATACTACTATTTCCATTTAGTCCCAATATTTATATTCTATGTAGTCATACATAATTGATCACCGCCTACATTTGAGCTAATTATGTTTCCATCATTCAGTGCTACTGTAAATAAAAGACATTCTGGTTTTAATTGAATTTGTCAAGCTGCTGTGGATGAGATGACGTTGTTTTAGTTCAGGATAGTTGTCAAGTGTAAGCAATATTTTAACTGGGTCGCCCCCAGGCTGTGGAAACTCACTTTTGTTTACCCTTTTATTGTAGAAAATGTCATTCACTGTTTCTACATGTAGCAGAACAAGGGAACAGGTATAACCCTATAAATGCTGACTATTTAAAATGACGACAGTTATATTAAGTTGTGTAACAGCAGGATGAAGAGTCAAATAGGAATACAACCACTTCTACTTCCAAGAGGGCAAGAACAACAGGTCACCATGAACAGCATGGCAGCCATCTTTACTTTCTTTGTCGACTATGAACTGTAAATATGAGTCAATACAACCTCTAGGTTATAATAATGCAGGAGTTATAGTATGAGAAGTTTACTGTGCACATATGGGACACTTTAATCTAAATCAAAACCACAATAAATACAGCCATTTAGAACAAATCAATGTAGCATACACATTTGATTTAGTCAATTAATGAAATGACTTCAAATGTATCAGCAACTATTTTAATCTATTTATGTGAAATATACAGAACGTCTTCTTAAGCGTAAGTTTTGAACTATAAGCTTGAAAACCAGAAATATGAAGATGTCATCATGGGCACTGGGAATTCTGATAAAAAGGTCAAATACTAACGGACAAAGCTAAAATCATGGAAATATTGGCAATTTTTTTAATGATACCTGGACTGAGCAGACTTCCACAGAGCAGAGACATCAAGTATGTGTCTGAATGTCAGTCAGACACAAACAGATAACTAATCTCACCATTTAGGAGAACACTACCTGTAACCGTGGTAACTGAACTCATTAAAGGTTCAGTTGCTTGTATTTCCCATTGCAAGATTTTCTGACATCGCTCTTTGTCTCTAAAAAAGGCCCCAAATGTATATACAAACTTTACACATTAAAGATGGTGACAGCTGTAGCCTCATAGTGAAACATGCACAACAGGGCTAACACAACAGATGAACTAAATATTGACGTATACTAAAAATGTCGAAAGACCTCGAAAATAGAAACACTTATACGTGATAGCTATAATACATGAAAGCTCCAAAATCATAAAAATGGGACATTCGCCTGTCAGTGAACGCAGTGTTCATCTCCAAGCTCTCTCCAGCTCTCTCTATCATCCAATGAAAAATAATGTGCCTCTCTTTCATTCTGTGCCTCCTCCTTTACAGCCACCTGTCTGTGTGCTACATGCCAAAACGGCACAGTTATCGGCAGACATATAAACACACGCTTGCAAGCACACACACACACACACACACACACACACACACACACACACACACACACACACACACACACACACACACACACACACACACACACACACACACACACACACACACACACACACACACACACACACACACACACACACACACAGTTTTTACTGTATCGACAAGTGTAGTTAAGTTGGCATCTATTGCTTTGCATTATCTGCCCTAAGCGCACCCAGCAAGCGAGCTCATTGAACAGCAGAGGAGCAAACACAATTCCTCCCATGGGTGCAGAGACAGCCAGGCAGCCTGGGCAGCAGCACACTGCCCTCCCCCCTCACAGCCTGATGGAGCAGGTGGATGTAAAACTTCACCACGCAGCATGTGGGCAAGGAACATCGTGTTGCAAGAAACAAACAATGTTAATGCTAACCACCTTTTTACCACATTTAATCATCACACACTGTCCTTATTCCAGAGTTCAAGATGCTGGTCTGGAGTTGATAAACGTCTGATATGATGTGCATCTGAAGATATGACATTAGCTCTATTTCTGCCACCCCTCATATCCTTCAGATGTTCTCTGTCTTCTTATGAGCGGTTTATGTCATTTTCCACACCTGTCCACTATAGATGACTAAACTCAGGTTGCCTTTGTGAACCTCCTGTCTACCCTTGTAATCTGGGATCCTCCCCATGGCTGCTGCTCATATGGTTACAGTGTAGTTCCTCAATATACAGTACAGTGGAAGGTTTGCCAGAGCCTCCTATGGTACCTTGTGTTCTAGCCAACTGTTATGTGCCTGCCTCTTTCCTTGGTTTGCATGCTGTAAGCCTGCTTTACTATTCATTTTAAATACTCATAGATACATTTTTAAATCCCTTGATCCTTGGTATGGGATTGGTGTGTATAGTTATGCTGATGGATGGCCGTCTTAAACTAGGAGTAACAGAATCCCTCCCTAGAATGCATCACAGAGATAATGAAAAAGTT